TAGGGATTCTTCCAACCCTGATGATTCTGAAAAACACAATGGACTTTCATGTTTTAATTAGGATATAAAATAAAATTTCATTAAAAGCATTGAAAATATAATTATAAATTCATGTTAAGAAAATTGCTCATTAGTAACATATGCCATAAGACGATCAAGTGGAGATTTTTATATTCCACTACTAGAATTGAAGTCATGCAAAGTGGACATTTTTTGTGAGTGTAAAATAATAAAGTATAATAATTAAATTTTGGAATTTTGTATCAAGTAAAAAATTAGTTCAAATGTCACCGTAAGAAAAATATTTTTTAATATTTGAGGTGCCTCCCCTGTCAAAGTTTCTGGTTCCGTCACTGGTTGCTTGTCTAATGGGTGATGCGTGCGACGGTCAATTTGTGTTAAAATGCATGTCCCCGCCCCCACATCCCAACCTCTCATACTCCAGCACTAGAATATTGGTCCCGGTGCTTTGGGATTATGATATGATTGTCTAATAGGCTAAAGGAGCTCCTATATGTCGATTTAGTTTATAAAGTTATCTAGAGAGTTTGTTGATGGCAAATTCTCAAGGTTGGCTGACTATACTGAGCTTCCTGCTCACGCTATTACGTTCTCAAGGTCGGTGGAATAACTTTGGTTCATGTGTGTTTAAACCTGATGGTTTCCGTACAATTTTGATTTGGTTTGAGGAGATTAGGAGAGAAATTCCATTGATCCCTAAGATATCATAAGTACCCAAGTGCCCAAAGCAAGCCATAAACTCTTTTGACTCCACGGCCAACCAAAAAAATAAGGTCCAAGTTAATGTATTTGAATATTGTCATCATTACATTTACCAACCAGTCTCCATTTACCAACCAGTAAACTATTTACGTACCCATGAAAACTCCTTACCCCAGCACTCTCTCTCCTACTTAAAGTCCAAAGATTCACACTCTCCTCGTGCAAAAAAAGCAAATAGGCCCGTGATGCTTGGGACCCTTTTTTTTTTTTTTCTTCTTTTAACTGAATTTTTATTTTAGTTTTTTTAATTTGGCATATTATTTTGACTCTTCAATTTCTTTTTAGGTTAGTTAACATGTCGGTACTATATGAGATATATTTCTTAGAATGAACAAGAATTCTTTGCAAAGATTCGCAACTTTCTTTTTTGTTTTATTATGGTACTAGAAATGACTTTCAAGATATCAATATGGAAATATACATGTGATTCCTATACATTTCAAGATATCAATCATTAATCGAACGAAAACGCACATATGATGACTACAATTTGTGTTTTATCCACTTTCCTTGATTGGGTTTCTATTCAAGCAATGCAGGTAAGGTACCGTAACATGCCTACACCTTTTCCTTTTATAATTACACTACAGATTTTCTTACACGAATTAATGATGTGTTTCACAATAATGCTATTTGAACACACTTAATAAAAACCTTTATCTGTGCTTGGTTGCTCAAAACCATGGTTCTTCATTGACATGACACAAAATAGTACTTGTGGACAAGAAGACATAATTCTTACTCAGCATTAACAATATACTTATGACATGTAGAAGAAGAAGAAGAAGAAATACAGAAATATAAGAGAAATAAGATCAGATTCAGAGAGAAAGGAAACTCCAAACCAAGCCTCTCTATTCTTTCTCACTCTTTTTTTCTTCCTGGTCGTGCCTTCTTTTTCACTCGAGCCGCTTGCTTCATCTTATTTAGTTTTGCTTACTCCCCTTAAAATTATATAGAAGGAGTAAAAGAAGAAGAACAAGAACAAGAAGAAATAAGATGGTCGACTTTTTGTAGTTCATGTTGCCAAAGCAGGTAATCCCACAACTAGTGCTTCCGACTGAAACAATTAAATTGTCATCATTGTTGAAGTTTGCACCCGAATCTCCATCCCCGAATCTGGATATCCCAGACTCTGTGCTAGCTTCTGAGAAGATTCTATTCTCAGTATTGTTGAAGCTCGTGCGTTGTGCGCCGCGGCGGGTTCTTGCCCTCCCCTCCTTGAGCGGTTCTTCAGCTTGATCTCGATTCCAATCTTATATATATGTTAAGAAAAAAATGGAAAGGATGTTCAAATAAGTGGACTTCGGGCAAATGCTCCAAAATCTGTTAAAAGAAATCTTTCAATAAATGGAACTTCATTTGAATCAAATAAAAATATTAATCATAATAGTACTAGTGCATACCTGCCATTGATGAAAGCTCAAAAGAACGCCTTCTACTCTCTGTAGGGTTCTTATGTTTTGAAGGTGTGTTTCTAAGAGAGGATGGATATCTTTAAAAACAGTTGAAACCCAGTTGAAAGCTTGTGTGGAGAAGGTGAGGATAAAAATGGAAATAACAAATAAAAAAAAGTCCTGATAATAATCAACTTGGATTAGTGTAGTCAAGCTCAAGACTCAAAAGGTATTTTATGTGGGTGGAAAATTTTCGTTTTTTCTATGGGTAATATTAGGCTTACCACATTTTTCATACCACATTCATACCACCTCTCTAATAGAGGTAGAGCCCACCAATACAATGGCATTTCAGTACATATCATAAGTATAGAAAATATTTTTATAGAATATTAAGGGCATTTCAGTAGGTTTTGAAAAATAAAATAAACTATACTTTCTTCAAGGGCATTTTAGTAATCAAACATTTCTAAATTCTGAAATATATTAGGGGTTCAAGTTGGACTAGTTTCATGTTGAATTTGATATGACTTAATGACCAAAATAGACTTAGACAGACTAGCTATTTCATAAAGGATAACGACATATAAATTATATCATATAATAGTTTTTTGAGCTTTTCCATATGATTTTTTAATTTTGAGCCAACTTTAACCGTTCAAATCGTTAGACATGTTTAAAACTTCCAATGATTTTATGAAATTTTCCAAAAGAATTCCGAAATATATAAGTTTCTAATTTGAATGTATGTTGAAATTCTTAATCACTCCGATTCATGGTTAATAAATATGCTTTTAAGCTCTAGTTGTATTCTTTCGAACAATGAAAGAGGTCCCAAATTCAAACAGGCATAATAATAATAATAAATGAACCTAATTAAATAAACAGAGATCTCCATTATCAATAGAGCACCAAATGACGAAGCACACAAGGATTGTCATTAGGGTCGTGGATTGACATGTGATGTGAAGACAGAGGATAAAACATGGAGACGGCCAAGTGACCAGCCAGGAATATGTTGGCGCTAGTGTACAGATCAAATGGAACTCCAGAAGTTTATATAAAATTGTTCATATTTATATATTTATAAAATATATAAATAAGAACAATGGACTGGCTAAAAATAAAACAAAGGAGCTCTTTGTGTTAGAAGCTAACTGGGCATATAGTACGTACACTCTGTGAAACAGGGTAGGTCATCTTCTTGTTGGATTGTGGGTAAATTAAAAGCCGTTGTTATTGCCATTCATTATTTATTTATTAGTTTCATTCATTTGACTCTGATGGAATTTTCATCAGTTGAACTGAGGCACCATATTCGGCAATCAGCACCATAATGAAGGTTGAGGGTACCACTCCGATTAAGCCTACTTAAAACATAATTCCCATCAATGACCCAGGCTTGTTGGCCTCTTTTTTATGTAATAATGCTCTTCTTGACCATATGGGTATGTTGGGACATTCGTTCTTCTATGACTATACCCGTTTGAAAAACTGGATTATATAGTTGAATAAGATTCATAATTCTAGTCAAGTGTTTGGTGACCTAAAATCAATATGACAGATAATGTCTGATCCTACTAGGCTTAAATGTAGTAGGATTATGAATTCTACCATAGGGTTGATTGGATTATGTGTAATTCTACTAGGGCGTGTAATAGTACATTTCAATTCATCTAACTGCTTAATCATGTGTAGAACATCATGTGAGAGTATTATTCTCTCCAATCCAATATAATCCAATGCAATCTAATTCTATCACATAATCCAATTCAGTTCAAATCATCAAACATGTTTTGTGTATATATGTATTTAAGATGCAATTACCTTTTGAGATATTTAGTCATATACCTATTCTTAGCACTAATAATATAAATAAACTCTACATCATTTAATTTCTATAAACAAACCCAAAAATACCCAAAAAATGACAGCTAGTCCTATTGAATTTAATTTTGATTATTAAATTACTTTGATGCCCAATTGAGCAAGGTCTAAAATATCGAGAGTTTCGAAAATATCGGTGGTCCAAAAACACGGATATATCGATGGAAATATCGATATCGATAAAAATCAAGGAAATTGTGAGAAAAATTTGGAAATTTTTATTGAAACTTTAGAGGATGTTTACTTAGTCAATTGTCTATTATTTTTTTACAAAAAATTAGAAGGAAATGCATGGCATGGTGGCTTTAGAAAAACACTGTGACTTTAGAAAATAGGACAAACCACAATAAAACCCCCAACCTATAGGGTCATTTACGATTCCATACCCGATTTTGGGGACATTTACGAGTACATACTCAACGTCGCAGAAAACCTACAATTTGCCCCCTCTGACTGCCAAACCATTAGTGAATCTGTTAAATGCTGACGTGGCGAATGTGAGTTCCATTTTTTAATGACGTGGACTTACAAGTGGACAAAATATATGATAAACAATTCTTTTGTTTTTTCAAATATTAGAAAAAGATAAATTATATTAAATAAATAAAAATTCAAAATTCAAAACAAAAAAATCCCTCGCAGTCTCTTCCACACCCAGCCAACCCCATCACGACCTCAGCCACCCCTTCCCATCCCCTTTCCGTCTCTGTCCCCTGCTTTCATCCCCAGCCACCATCCCTCCTCCTCCCTTTACCTTTTAAAATGATTAAAACAATTCCCACAACCAACAAACTGATCTTCTTACCTAAACCCAGTCCCCCTCTCTAATTCTGATATGTAGCCATCATTCTCGATCTGCCGTTGAAAGCCAAGAAGGTACTCTAACAACCCCACCTTATTCTCTCTCTCTATTTTTTTGATCTTGACTCTCT